AATGACAGAACCTAGTGATGCCATGTAGACCGAGAAGAGTAGTGGTCCAAGAATTGAGCCCTGAGGCACCCCAGTAGTTAGATGTTGCAACTTGGACACCTCACCTCTCCATGAGGGTGAGTAATTAATGACAGAATTTTCATTTTGGGGTGAACTAATCCTTTAAGGTTCAGGTGATACCAAAACAACAAGATGTCAGCATGTGGTGTATGTGGTGTACCCCTAATTTCTTTGGTTGTTGACTTGTTGACGTCATAACAAAGTGTTACTCAAAAATCACCATGACTCTATTCTCTTATAATTGAAATATTTTCCCATTTGAGTGGCTATTTCACTTTGGAGAACCCGATCTGCTTACAAAGAGGCTTTGACCCTTGAAACCAGTGGGCCAAGACCCACTGGGAAAACTAAAGAAATGGAAATGTTCTGAAATACGACATTTTAAATTATTTTCCTCTGGTGGAGGTTGCAAGAGAACAAGGAAAAGAGAGACTAAAAAATTCAATTTTGAAAGAGGTTATGAAAAAAGTGCCAAAGACTGCTGAAGCGGGCCATCACTCACCGGAGGGCTGAACTCTGGCCCGTGTGGAGACGCTGCATGGCACATTGGCTGGAAACTATGCATTCACTGCAGCGCTGCATGAAGAAGCCATTACCACAGAGAGCCATGGGAAAGACCTCCATCCATTATTCAATCAGTGCAGAGAAGGAATTGATCGTTTTTTTCCTCATCTTTAACTGTGTTGAATCACCTAGTGCATACTAAAGGCATGCATTAGATGCGAAAACCATCGTCCGATGTGCTTGTTTCTTCACTGTATCAGAGGTGTTTTTCAGGGGTTAGTGGAGAACAGTATTTCACCGAATACTTCCTGTCTCGCTTTGGGACTTCCTCTTACTTTGACATATTAATGTGGTTTGGACTGGACAAATAGTTTGAGAATATGCTGCTTAACTGTATGGAGTATTAATTTGGCCTCCTAAATCCCAAAAAGTGGCATTAATGAGATCCTCAGAGAGGAGAACTTGTTAAGAACAGGGTGTTTTTCCTTTTTTAATCAGTCAGGCTTGCAATTCAATCATAGGGGCCATAAAATACAACTTGGTGCAGGTTGAAATCTGACTTCACGCAGGAGCATCAGTTCTTTGCATGTGTATTAAAAGTTGCAGTCTCACTCTTTCTCTCTGTGTCTCTCTTCCCTGAGGCACGTGGGATCCCGAGCTCTTGGTGTCCTCTGCTTTAGGACAATAGGAGGAATGTCTAGTCCTTTCTGTGGCTCAAACAGAGCGTCAGGAGAGGAAGTGGCCTCAGTGCGTTCAGTCGATCCACAGCCTCAGGCCGCAGGGAGCAGCTTTCTCCTCTAATCCCTCTCTCAGGCTCCTCTCTCTCCTTTCTCAATCCCTCTTTCGATCGGTTCCCCTCTCTTTTCATTCTTTCAGCTCCAGCTCTCTGTTTAAGCTGTTTTCACAGCATGCTTGATACACTAGAGCACCAACTCACAGCACCAGCTCCCTTTGTCCAGGTCATACCGTAATTCATCAAAAAAATTAAACAAAAGAAAAAACAAGAATTTATTTGTAATATAAAATTATATTTTCATAATACATAAAAGTCTATTTTAAGAACAAGATTTTTTTATGGTCACATTTTTTATTTTGATTATTTTAATGAAAATTAAATAAATTCTCATTTCTGTAATGCAAATTCAATTTCATCAACAGTATGAAAATATCATTACAATACATTTTAAATACACTTTCATACATTTTGTTAGTATTTGTTGCACTGAATATAATTTATGTTGGTTTAAATTGTATTACATTAATGTAATGTGCTTATAAATAACAAAAACAGCAACAACACCACAAAATTAATATACTAAAATGTTACCTTAATACAATGTGCTTATAATATAAATATGCTAATAAATGATAAAAACGACAAAAAATAATGCATAATAACAATTGTGAAAAATGATTACAAAATTGCTATGAAATAGTAAAATGAGTAAAAATTGTGAAATAGTAAAAATGAGTAAAACATCTAGTTGCATTACAATAATTTGGGAGGAAAAGAATAAAAACAACAAAAATATTATTATTATTATTATTCATGCAATTTCTATTTAAATCTGTGTAATTAAAGGCTCTACAACAAAGACTACAATGAAACACTTTACTTTACAATTTAAATGTAAAGTAAATATAATTTCTTTTTCATTCCAGTAATGAGAATTCAGGACGGAATGTGCGTAACTGTCATAAACATTAAGTCATAATTCAAGAAATGGTAAAGGTTCTAAAAATAGGTTTAATTCTCTTTATGCTAAATATATATTGACATGAGGCTTTGAGAGATTTATCTTAGTAGAATAGCAGGTTTACTTGTTTGAATGCACTGATGGCAAAAGAAAAAAAAAACTCCAAAGCTCTGAAATCGGAGGAAACAGCCTCACTCATCAGTGGAAGGATTAGATGTGCATCACCGACTGCAAACAAGCCAGGGAAATACTTCACGTTTGTGTTTTTCAGGGCCGTGTGTTGTTTTCATTTAGTCTTGTGTGTGTGAAGGGGAACAGGGGGTTTGATATGTTCCTTCCTCTTTGCCTAAATGAGCCGTTCAGTGGCCGAAAAAAGTCAGTTTACAGTGAAAGACCTGTAATAATAACTTGTCAAAAAACATTGAGATTCACATGAGCAAATGTTTCCAACCAATGGAAAGTCACTTAGAGCAGTTTATCGTCATTTGCTGTGACAGATGTTTGGAACGGTTTAGACTCAAAACTACAGCGACTACAAAGAGTTTTTAGACGCATAAGATACACTTAAAATGTCTTGATATATACGCTACTGTTCAAAAGTTTGGGGTTAATTGATCAAAAGTGACAGTAGAGACATTTATAATGTTTTCAACATTAATAATAAGACATGTTTTTCAAGCATCAAATCAGCATAATAGAATGATTTCTGAAGGAACATTTTAAAATGTATCCAAATAGAAAATGGTTATCGTAAATTGTAATGATATTTCACAATATTGCTCTTTTTATTGTATTTTTGATCAAATAAATGAAGCCTCACTGGAGACTTATTTTAAACTTTCTGACCCCCAGCTAACAAAATACTACAGTTTCTGTATGTTTTGGTTATTTTGTCTGTCCACATATGTTATTGTGAAAGTGTGTGCTTTTCTCTCCATACTGTGAATGAATTGTGTGATTTACAAAGCATACCTGTGTGTGTTTGTTTGGATTCAATGTCAGAGATTTTCCTCATGCATTTGCTAATGGGGCTTGCAGAATGAACAGTTTACACTGCACAGACCAAACTACTCCGTAGGCCCAGCGAGGTGTATGTTAGTGTCTGTGTCTTTCTCTGCACACTGTGAAAGGGCGTCTCAGTTTGGCCAGGCGTACCTGTGTATTTTCAATGCGCACTGTGAAATGAGGCCAGAGTTTGCACTGACTGATTTCTGTACACACAAGATGCTTCAGACAGGAATGCTCTCCTAATAATCACCTGTAAAGAGCTTTCACTCAAACTATCAACACACCTTCAACAGAAACAATTTTCACTCAGAAACTGCTAGTGAAGTTCACAATTAATTAAAAAGAAATTTTGAAGTGAAAAGACTGTAATAGTATTTTCTTGTAAAACATACTTCAATAACTATTTATTTAATATACAACTTTGACAAGTCATTTTTTTACAGTGCATGTCTTGTCTAACATTAGAAATAATTATATTGTTTATCTGCATTATAACTAGAACACATCCTGACATATCTTTTGCGTCATAACCATCTGAAAGCCCTTCATTTTGGTCTTATGAGATGTTGTACAGTGATATCACAACCGAGAGAGATGATTGTTTGGATTAATGGTTTCGTTTGGTTTCCTCTCATGGGTTTGTGGTCGTAATTATTCGCCTCAGTTCTCCGTGTGGGATTTTCATTCAGTTGCCTTATCCAGATAGAAATCCACACTCATATACACTCTTAAAGGGGTCATAGGATGCTACATGCACATTTACAAGTTGTTTGAACTTAAATGTGTGTTGGCAGTGTGTGTACACAACCACCCTATAATGATAAAAATCCACCCAGTGTTTTTTACCATTGAGAAATTTTAACCAAATGATGTTACAGACTTTTCATTAAGACCCTAAAGAATCATATCAACTTGTGGAAAATGGGTATCCTATGACCCCTTTAAAAAAAAGGCTGTTTTACTGGCATCTATACAGTGAA